GAGGTCAGGAGTTTGAGACCAGCCTGGCCAACATGGTGAAACCCCGTCTCTACTAAAAATACAAAAATTAGCCGGGCGTGGTGGTGGGTGCTGTAGTCCCACCTACTTGGGAGGCTGAGGCAGGAGAATCACTTGAAGCCAGGAGGCTGAAATTGCAGTGAGCTGAGATTGTGCCACTGCACTCCAGCCTGGGTGACAGAACGAGACTCCATCTCAACAACAACAAAAAATCATAATTTCTCTTCTTAAGCCCTTGCCATGTTGAGTGCTGGTGAGGCAGGATCTTTGGACAGATTTCTGAAATACGGTCATGAGTCACATAACAGGGGGATATGTTCTGAGAAATGCATTGCTAGGTGACTTAAGCCTCGTGCAAACATCCTACAGTGAACTCTCATAAACCCAGGAGGCAGGGCCTGCTGCGTATCTGTCGTTCCTGACTACAAACCTAAATATCTGGGACTGTTGAATACTGCAGGCAATTGTGTATCTGAACATGTCTAGATGTAGAAAAGCACAGTTAAAAATATATTTTTTATATATATATTATATTTTAATATATATAATCTTTTAATAAAAGATAAAAAGCAGTACACCTGTTTGGGGTAGCTCCATGATCATCTTAAGGGACCCACCGCTGACAGAAACATCGCGATGCAGTGAATGACTCCACAAATATTTAATTTGACACAGTGAAGAAATTCGTGATTCACATGTCACATAATTAGTGACAACACCAAGGCCCTTTTTACTTGATCTATTTGGCTCAGAAACAAGTAACATCCTAACTTTTTAAAGGCAATGGTGCCGGGCACGGTGGCTCACACCTGTAATCCCAACACTTTGGGAGGCCGAGGTGGACAGATCACGAGGTCAGGAGTTCAAGACCAGCCTGACCAACATGGAAACCCCATCTCTACTAAAAATACAAAAATTAGTTGGGCATGGTGGCATGCGCCTGTAATCCCAACTACTCGGGAGGCTGAGGCAGGAGAATGGCTTGAACCTGGGCATCAGAGGTTGCAGTGAGCCGAGATCACGCCACTGCACTCCAGCCTGGGTGACAGAGCCATATATAACATATATTTATTTATATAACTAAATAAAGACAATTGTTCAAGTTGTATTTTATCTGCCAAGGCCTCTCATCCTGCATGGAGTTTAGCAACTTTGAACACTGCAGGGTCCAGGCCTGGATTCTGCTGTGCCATCCAAGCAGGGACAGACCCCGGGTTCGGCGACACCCTTCCCTAAAAGAGCCACAGATGCCAAGAAACCACGGCTGTGTCTGTGTCAGTTCAGAGGCAGACGCAGCATCAGAGGCCTCAAGATTTAAAAGAAGCTGCAGCAAGCTTCAGAGCCAGTCGCAGACGTGGGTGGTGACTGTCAGCGGAGGCACTCAAATCGTTTGTGACAGAAGTGAGAAAACATTACACAACAGACTACATCAAAAACACAAGCTTGTGTTTCACACAAGAAACTAGAAGGTGTCCTCAACCAGGCACGTCCGCCGTCACCTGACACTCAGGAGAGGCACCTGGGCGATGCAAAGGGCATCAATCGTGGTGTGTTCTGTAGCACCTCCGTCTCCAAAACCCCTAGACACGATGATGCACTCCACAGCACCGAGTGGATCCAAAGGGGACGGTCCCCCAAGGCCAGCCCCCGTCACATACCTGCAGATCCCTGATGTCAAAGGGCTCTTCGAAAATGTATGCGGCATCGGCTCCGGCCGCGAGCCCCCCCATGTTGGCCAGGTAGCCACAGTAGCCGCCCATGGTCTCGATGATGAACACGCGCCGCTTGGTTCCGCTGGCAGACTGCTTGATGCGGTCGCAGGTCTGGTCACAGAGAAAAGATCAGTCACTCCAGCCCAGGGCCAGGGTGCACCCACCATCCCAGAGCTCCCCGACCAGTGAGTGCAGCAAGCAAGGCCTCCCACCGCGCCTGAGCATGCGGTCCCAGCATCGCAGAGGTGAAGGGTGTGCAGCAGCTGGGATGTGCCCTTGGAGCGGGTGTGAACATGCCCCCCCACCCCACCGTGGCAGCCACCTGGAGGTGACCTCGATGACCTGTGGTGGGAGCCTGGCCATCTACTGCTCCCTTCTCCCAGGCCCCATAGGAGGAGACTGAAAAGACGACCCCACAAGCCAGCTCACTCCACGCTGCTCTCTGTCCCTGCTGAAGCAGCTTTCACCTGACACGGACACCGTTAGGTGTGAGCTGAGAAGTTAGGGGGCTGTCACCTGCCAGCTTAGTCCATGGGAACACCTGTGATCTTCTATTTTCTTCCATTAAAGCTCCCTATGATTTTAGAGCTGTGGCCATCTTCCATCCATCGGGGAATGTTACATTTATAGAAACTCTACTCAAAGGCAGAGTGTGGTTCTTAGACCCAGGTGCCTGGGGAGTCTTTCGGATGCATAGGCATCAGGTCCCAGAGTGAAATGTCTGCCATCCGCCCTCCACGAGGACCCAAGCTCAGCGGGGAGAAAAACAGCAGAGAAATGCATGGACGCCTTCCCACCCACACACCAGTCCGGGCTGCAGCACGCTTTCTTGGGACTCTGCAAAACCTCTCCCTGGGCCTCAGCTCCCACCCCAGCACCCTCCAATCTGTTCACAGACTGGAGACCCATCTATAAAAAACATAAATCTGATCCAGTCATTCAAAACCCTTTGCTCACTTCAAGTACACGTCAAGCCTTTCTCGGGAATCCCTGGCCCCGCCTGCTTCTGACACCAGGTTCCGCTCTAGCTCCAGCCACCCCAGGTGGGGCCTCTGGATATGCCGGCTGCTGTGTGCATTCAGGTACAGTGGTGGGCGGGAGAGCGACCCCCAAAGGAATCCCGGTCCTAATGCCTGGAACCTGAGAATATTCCCTCATGCGGTGATAAAGGTGAATCCTGAGGACTACCCAGGTGGGCCCTAAGTGCCACCACCTGCATCGGCAGATGAGGGGTGCAGAGGCCCTGGAGCAGGATGCTGCATACCCACATGGGAGGTGGCGGCGCCAGGGAACAAGGCGTGCAAGGCCCGCAGCTCTGGGCACCTGAATGGGTCACGAGGGACTCTCCTGGAGCAAACACTCTGGTCTCAGCCCATGGCTCCTGCCCTCCAGAGCTGTGGGAGAGTGAGTATTATTTTCCAGCCCCAGGTGTATGGTCAGGGTCACAGCGGCCACGGGACACACACAGGCACCTTCCTCAGCTCTGA